CGAGGTATGCAAACCTACTGGGAGTATCGGGGCCAGGGAGGTATCAAACCTCCCAACCCACGCGGTCTGAGTGATACGCGTCGGTTAGAGTTTCGGTTAGGGTTCGGTTAGGGTTCGGTTAGGGTTCGGTTAGGGTTCGGGTTCGGGTTCGGTTAGGGTTTGGGTTTGGGTTAGGCACTGCTCACACCTCCTCCTCCCCCAAGAAGGGAGGCCGTCTGTATTTATCGCGCGAACGAGGCTTTAGAGTGCCCGCCTGAGTGCTCCTGGCTCGGGGGACTCCCCGAGCGCAGCGAGGGAGGGGAGGGAGCACGAATGGCGGGTCCTCTTCGCGCAGCCCCCATCAAGCGCCACAATGGTAACTTCGATCATCAAAAAGTGCGCGCTGATGCGCCAGCGTCGGTGGTCTTCCGTGTCGCGCGTCCCCCACCCTCCTCGCCCGCTGCACCTGCACAATGCTCTCCGTCAGTTGGACAACGCTGTCTCCTCAATTGCGACCTCCTCAGAGAAGGAAGTGTCCGCGTCTTCGAGCTCCTCAAAGTTTGCTCAAGTACAAACTCAGTCTGTGGCACTGTTCTAGCCATCAAAATCCGATGCGCCCATACTGATGTCCCAGGCGAACAGCCAATCACCTGCGGGATTGGGAGGTCTGATACCTCCCTGGCCCGATATCCCAGAGGTTTGCATACCTCGTTGTAGGCTACTCTTGGAGGAAGCAGCGGTGGGGAGAGAGGACAAGCAGATGGCGGTGTTGCGCAAGCCGATCAACTGCATCCACAAGGATTTGACTTGGACTTGAAAATGGATGGCTGTCCGGCCGTACGACAGGTACTTTGAATACGCGGACTTGCTCGCGGCCCAGGCACTTACCAAGCAGGCCGCCGCATTCGTAGAACTCGTGCTTTCGGAGTCCATCGACGGTACTGGCTCGCGGTACGACTTCACTGTTGCTTAGGTCGACGCGTGTCTCTCCAAGGCTGCGAACGAGTCCCCTATTCCCAATGTATGCCTTGCGACCACTGGCCCTGCCGTCCAAGCCACAGGTCCCTCGCTCCGGTCGTGTGCATCTCCTACGGCGATCGGTATGGTGTCCCGGCGGTCGGTCCGAAGCCACCCAGTCCGCACCTGCGCCCTCGGCCTATAACTTGTACGCCCCGCATGTCGAGGCAGTGCGATCGCAGAACGCATACGCATATGTTACTCCTGGAACCGCCGCGCAGCCTTAGCGGACCTACCAGCCCGCGATTTTGGCGCATACAACGGCGATCATGGTGATGCCACTGCTGGCCAGTCGCCGCCTGCAACCTAGGCATAATGCGATCTATGCTGCGGGGGACGTGCCTATTGCAAAGACATGTTCTGGTGCATACAAAGCGGTCGGGTGGGATGCTCAGATGTACGCGTTGCCTGGAGATGGGGTGTTCAGGTCTTTGGCTGGGGCAGGCGACACGGAGACAACAGGACCCCATCGCAGAGGCTGCGAGGCGGACGAAGCTAGTGTAGATTTAAGCATGTACAGTAAAAGAGTCAATGCAATATCTCACTTCGTTTCAGTCGGGGTAGTGAGAAAATTGGAGGCGGACGTGAATGACGTCGGATCTAGAGCGCCTTTGCACCTCGCTCGCTAACTTCTCTCGCTTTCCTCTGCAGGGTAGCCCTGCACTTGCTTGTTCCGCCACACACTCTCTGCCAAGCAACCGTCGATCGCTGTGGAAAGTAACGGCTCTTTGCCATCCTCGATCGCACGACCGCCTTCCGTCGTTCATCACCAGCTGCAGATGGGAGTATGCTACACCCCTGCTCCCCCGGCCCCGAGGCCGACTACGTCCTCTTCGACCGCGCCAGTAACGTCAAACCTACATCATCCCGAGGCTGAGAACTAGCTGCTGCGGGTTTCGTACTCATGTAGATCATTTTCTTTACCCCTCGCCGAAGAAGGGAGCTCGGTAGGCCAGCTAGCGGCAGGCTACCTCTGCCACGCATGGTCCTACATCCCCAATTCTTCAAGACGCGTTTCCATCCTCACATACTTATCGTGCTCCGTGCTGCTTCTCGAGCTGCCTCACTGTAGCGTCGTGGCGAGGTTTGATCTCATTGGAACCGAGCGGTTCAGCGACCTTGACCTTGGTGAGTGCCCATGTGTCCACGCCTTCCCCGCACTTTGTGAGCTCGATTTGTCTATCTGCCTCTCTTCCTTGTCATCCCCACCGTGCCTGGATGCAATGTCCGTCCGTCATCAGTCACTGCTCACATTATCTTTACAGATCTCGATATCGACTTTCGCAGGGAAGTCCAGGACATGTCGTACCTCGAGAACCTGCTCACCCGGCAGTCTTACGTCATACACAACGCTCGACATGGCGATCTGCTCGTGTTTTGAGTGCTGCACCCTTGTGGAATCGGAGTCCGTTGCCGTCGAGGTGTGTACCCGTCGTCACCCCCCACCATGCTATGCGTCTCAATGTCTCTTATTCCCCTGGATCCGACCGACCCGTCCCCTATGCGTGACGCTGTAGGACAATGCGTCAACGCTCTGCGCCATGCGCGTCATTGAGATCTTCGTCCCTCCTCATGTCAAGGCCAGCTCCCCGACACGATCGACGCTTTGTCCACACCCGCGTCGGAGCACCTGAACACGTACCTGTCCATGATGGCTGCCACAGGGTCTGTACGCGGGCTGTGCGCGGACGTGCAGGAGCGGTAAGCTGACGCCAAGAAGGCCGGGACATGGAGGAAAGGAAGCAGCGGAGGAGGGCGAGTAGCCTACAACGGCGGTTATAACCCGAAGGGAAATCTGGCCTTGACGAGTTTTAGAACAGTCGTGCACGGTGGGAATAGGGCGGGAAAGGAACCCGAGCGGTACGACGCTGGCGATGGAAGAGCCACCCCGGATGTGTGCACAGACAACTCCGGACAGGCACGGTTGGCATCACGTGGAAGGGGAAAGGGAGGTTTTAAACCAGCATGGCCCGATTTCCCTTCGGGTTATAACCACCGTTGTAGTCTCTACGGAGGGCGAGGAACAGTGCGCATGCGCATGAGGCATGGCAAGGAAGCTACGGGTGCAATACGGGAATCGACTTCGAGGGGTCGAACGACGGTGTAGGTGAATTTTATGTGGGCGCTGTTAGTGTCGTGCGCAATCCTGAGTCGAATCGCAGTACGCTCTTCACATGGTGCATCGAAGACGTCGCAGGACCGGCAGATGACGGACTCAGCTCGGGTTGGCTGCGATAGATCTATCTCAACTTCCCTTCTGTGTGCACGAGCCACTTCCCCGGTTGCGTCTAAGTCTCACGCGTTCGAGTTACATCGGCATTTCGGGTCGCCAGTAGACTCCGAGTCAGGGATCGGGTGGTTTGGTTTCGTCGCTGTGCCTCGCCTTCTCGCGGCCTAAATGCGAGGGGAGTTTCCATACGCCTTGAGGCTGCGCCTGCTGAACTTCCGCAGACTCTCGTTCCTAGAAAACGGCGAAATGTTGCCCACCAAAAATTTTGTATTACAGGCATTGCCTTGGCATTTCCGACCGTCACTCTCGACCTCGCGCTCATCATCCTGTACCAGTCGTTTTCGGCGTGCTTGTGCTCATAACTTCCCCAATCGACATGATCTGTGTCATCGTGCTATGAGGAGCATGTAGATGGTTGGATAATTGCGGGGACGAATATCGGCGTGGTCCGGATAACAGAACTGCAACTCGCCTTCCCGTCGCACTGGGAGACATCCAGTCGAGACGTTAGCGTCAGGCCTTATCGCGAGGCAGCGTGAACATGTTGGATACCTAGCACGGGTCGGATGTCCTGAACGGGAGCGGGAGAGTGAGATAGACACCGAACAGTTTGTAGGTGACGGACACTGCTGTGACTATCGGAGCCGACGTTTATGGCAGTTATCTTGACTCTTCGGACTAGAAGATAATTGCACGAGACGGAGCAGAGCCGTCTTGTTGTTCATCGCGCCTGGCGGCTTCGTCCACATACAAAGCGAATATATAGTAGGAGAACGAGCACTCCCGTCTGCGAGCAATGTGATGGTCCAAGATAATTTCAGAAGCCACACATGGATGCACAATCGAAGACAAGTCTGCCAAACGTCCGCGCCTACGACGTATCTTCGACCTCGTTCTCTTCATTGCCATCTTCATGGAGCGAGAGCTGGGCGCCCAAGGACCCAATGAAGCGGCTCGTGTTCCTCGACGTCTGCGGTTGGAATTCCAGTTCCCCGAGTGAGACGGACCGAGAAGAACCTGCCAGTTTGCGCTGGGTCCTCTGCAGGTCAATCAGGAATCTCGACGTGATGATGGCGGTCAAGCTAGACACAGTATCACAGTGAGAAATTGGCAGGGAAGCAACGCGGACGTACGGTTCCTCGAGAATAGCGATGACACTTGTCAATGAAGCTGTACCGCTCTCAGCGACCTGGAAAATGTCAACAAGATACCGTCATACTAAAGTGCGGCTCACCCTAGTCAGAGTAAATGCCATATGGAGAACACTCAGAGTGAGCAATGCTCTTGTAACTCCTGGTAAGATCATTGGCTGCCCTTGACACGAGTGGGTATACTCACAAGAAATAGATTGTCCCTGTGATACGAGAGTGATTCAATGATAAATGCGTCACGCTCAAATGGAGGCCTGCATTTACGCACCATCCAGGAGAAGAATGTTTGCGAAGGTTTCCTTACCAAGGCTACGGAGAGACAGCCTGACAGTCTCATATGTTCGGTACCAGGTAACGCAGAGAACCACTAGATCAGAAGCAATCAAAGAAGATCGCGCCGCCACCATCACTGTGATGTCTCGCCTCAGAACGTGCCTCTGCGGAACATAATCTTGTGAAATATCCGCTTACGTCTGCGATCTGCAACGTTAGATATCACATTAAAGCAGTGTCGCAGTGAACTTACTTCAGAGTTGTGCTCGCCGATATTGAATGCAAGGGTATTATGCCCAGTTGCGGATCGTCGACAACTGAAAATCTGTACAAGTTGGACTTTGGGAATACAATTTGATGCTGGTTGGGCATGGCCAATTCAGATTACGCACCCACATATTCGTGGCGATGGGCACCGAAGAAAGTGCGAAAACAGTCGCTGAAACAGGCCATCGATAAGGGTTGGGACATAAAGCATACGACCTGAGTGCTGAAAATGCTGCATGACAAAGAGGCTGTCAGAGCTGCCAATTCGCGTGGAGCATAGAGCGGTCACGTACCAGCCCATGGGAGATACTGCAAGGCCCTCAATACAGCATAAGCAACATAATCCGAAAATACACTGCGCATGCGTCAGAACCGTCGCACAATTCAGGACCTGTCGAGAACACTGTATACCTCTGACACATTGTCAAGCATTCATCCACACATGCTAGAGGTAGAAAGACATACCTCCACAGACAAAAGGGGTGGGACCACATTCACTATTTGTGCAGCGAGAGTGACGTATCGGTTTAGGAGAAAGAGAATTGTCGCTCCGGACAGGCGGCCCCCCATCCAGAAGAGTGTGACCTCGTAGCTGAATGTGAGGATGTAGTCGTAAACCAATAGTGCTGCGAATGAGGACACATTCCGCTTGTGAGTACATGCACGGCCTTGATTGCCTTCATGAGGAACGAACCAATGGCGGCCGCTATCCAATACTCTGTGAAGCTAGACGGAAGTGTAGTAGTTACATGAGGTGCAGGGGCTACAGCACTTACAAGACCTCGAATATGGCCTCAGCCTCTGAGTTGTCTGCCATATTGAAGCTGTGAAGTGGCAGCGCAGAGGTATCGTGAAGGGCTGGGAAGAAAGTATCGCTTGGGTGGTTCACGCTCCAACGCCTATTTACCCACATACTCAACCACACACGGATCTCTAGCTATCTACCGATGAGGTTCATCTTCAGAAGAAACTATCAGCGACCTGTCGCAACCGTCCGATACTAGCACAGAGAGTACATGCTGCCTCGTGCTTGATATATCCCTCGTTCTGTATGGTGAAAAGACAGCTGTATAAGGGTGTGATTGAGTAACGGGATCCACACAGCCGGGAACTGAGGCGATGAACACCATGCTCACGTCGCCAACACTGCCCCAGCGATTGAATCTGACAGAGTATCAGGAGAAGAGCTTCCATTGACTGATATCTAATACGAGTCAAAGAGAAAGTGGAAACGCGTAGTACATTGTATCAGCGATGTGCAGATGGAAGTGAAGGGCAGCTGAACACGAACATCGCATACCGGAGATGAGTAGAGCAGGACAGGCCGACGCCCTGTTATGATCATGGCTTGATCACTTTCGATAGGATCCTGGAGCTGCTCACTTCAACAAATAGCGGAAGAAACATCATGCCAAATTCTGTCCAACGAGCCGCGTCTGCGGCTGCATCGCAGTTGCGAATGTTGTCTGATCGGCGACCATACAGGCATCTCCATGCGATGACATTGAAGGCGAGCTCGGCATATACGTAGCATGGTATCGCCGACTCCGATTGGACCTGGGCCTGCGGGCAAATCTTTCATACAGTACTTGGGATCCGAGTCGGCCACGCGATGATTTGTTAGTAGGAGGACGAATGGTGGGGGGAGCCCCGTCGATTTCATGGCATCGACTCGGCGCTCCTGCTGAATTGGATTCGTCACGTCTCACGTGGCATGTGACACATTGCGCGTCTGATTGGCAGCTGCGACTCGGACGTTCTCTTCTTCCTTCCTCCTCTCGGCCGACCCTTGGCTTGGGATCTGCGCGACACAGACTTGTGCGGAGAAGGATGCAATGAACAACCTTGGCCTTGTTCTCGACGGCGAACTGCTTTTCCCCACGGGATACCTCGACACACCTAGCCCCAGGACCCCCCTACGACAAGACTGTGAGCCTCTTTGACCTCCTCAGCGAGATAGATCTCAGCGCCAACTACTCAATGCTCAAGCAGGTCATGCGGAAATTCACTACTGGCGGTTTATGGGTATGTGCATGCGCAAATTGCTTGTATTCGGGCAGCCCTCGCTGACCAAGGAGCCCGGTAACTAGCGGCCATCCACCGTCGCGGCGCGCGACCGCACATTAGGCGTACTTCATAGTATGTCCCCGTTCCTATGCTATCCGTCCCCGTCACGATACACCTCGAGCTGCCTCCCCCTGGAACTACACGTGGCGCATTTGGTGAGTCGTTCCACGCCTTCCTTGTGTTCTGTGTATCGCATGCCTGACCGTCTCTTCTTCTCTTCTCCACCCTGCACGATTAATGGATTATCCTCGCGTCGTCAGCCACATCGCTCAGACCATTACTATGGACTTCTCTTTCGACGTCTACACCGGAGTCAAGGCCCTGTCATCCCTCAAGAACCTGTTCCTCTGGTATCGTACACAACGCCGAGCATGGCCATGTGCTCGCTTGTTGGGGACTTGATCCTCTTCGGCTTTGAGTCAAGGTGCGTCCCCATTGTCTCTCCCCCATCTCGCATATCTCCATGTCACCCTCCGTTCGCGTCAGACCATCGCCTGCCCCTCGTTCTATGCCATACATAGACCAAGTGTCCATGCTCCACCTCGCGCGCGTCATTCACTGACTACCATAGGCTGCATCTTAGTCCCATCCTCGAGTCAACGCGTCCAACAAGCCCTTGTCGTGGTGTCCAAACACCCAGACGCTCGTGATGTTGGCTGCAGGGCCGATACGGAGGCTGCGAGCAGAGCACGGGATGTGTAGAAGCGGTTGACGGACGCGCGGGAGGACTCAGAAACCGCGGTGTTGAGGACATGGCGCAGGAGGAGGTGAGAAGAGCAACACTCAGGTCCATTATCACGGACGAACCTTGCGCTCACCCAACAGATGTACTTCCATGGGAGTCCTTGTATCGGTCACCATACACTGCGCATGCGCCTGCGTCGCAGACTTTCGTCGAGAGGGTGAAGTTGTTCCGCACGCCGATCAACTACATCAACGGGGACTCAGGCTCGAGAACGGACGTGGACGACCCGGCGGTTTGCACGTACAGGCTGTCCAGGTTGGACGACAAGTACCCCGAGTACGTGGAATTGCTCGCGGCCCAGACCGTCATCAAGCAGGCCGTCGCGTTCCACAGGCTCGTGCCTTTCGAGTACATCGGTGCTACTGGTTCGCCCTACAACTTCGCTCTGGGTCCGGTTTGCCTCCTGGAGGCTGCGAACGAGGGTCTGACTCGCAATACAGCCCTTGCCATCGCCGGTCCTGCCGTCCCAGCCACGGCCGCCCTCACTCCGGTCCTGCGGATCCCTCATAGCGATGGGTATAGTGCTCAGTACGGTGTCCCAGCGCTCTGCCCAAATTCGCTCAACGTGAACCTGCGCCCTCGACTACGACTTGTACGTCCCGCATGTCCAGGCAGTGCCATGACGGAACACGGGCCCATATGCCCCTCACCGGCCCGCTGCGTAGCCTGAGCCGACTTATCAGCCCGCGGTTTCGACGCATATAACAACGATCACGGTGGTGCCGCTGCTGGCCGGGCGCTGCGTATGACCTAGCGTCGCTTCTGAAGGCGGCATGCGCTTCAGGTCGCTGGAGATGTCGAAGGTGCCTTTCGATCGGTTGGTGCGGAGAGCGCAGTTGTGTGGTACGCTGGTACGCATCGCCTCGGATACAACGGACACCGTCTTAGAGGCAGCGAGGCGGCCAAAGCCAGTGAAAATTCAAGCACGTACAGTAAAAGAGACAATGAGATATGTCATTGCTTTGCAGTCGAGATAATCCTTTGATACGGAAGTTGCGCAGAGGCACGAGGCGGAACTAGAGCGCCTATGAGACTCGCGAGTTGCGGGCCATCGGCCGAAATGTACCACTCTCGCTGCCCTCCTACTACATCTCCTTTTATTCACAACGCGTTTCCATCGTCTCGCAAACCTGTGTGCCACTCTGTCCCCCACTGTAGCATCCCAGCGAGGAATAATCAGCGGTACGACGACTTTGATCACGCGTCCATCCTGGATGTGCGCGACACTTATCTGTCGTTCTCCCTCGTCACCTCCACAGCGCACAAATGCAATGTCCGCCCGCCATCGGTCATGCTGCTCACACTGTTCTCAGACTTCCATCTCGAAGTCTTAAAGGAGTCTAGCACATGTCGTACCTCGAAATCCTGCTCACCAGGTACTCTTCCGTGGTAAGCAGGGCTCGACATGGCGATCTGCTTGCGCTCTGAATTTTCTACCCTCGTGAAATCTGAGTGCCTTGGCGGCAATGTAGGTACCCGTCGTCTCCCCCACCATGAAATACGTCTCAATAACCTCTATTGCTCCGGATCTGTCCAACCCGTCACCTATCTGTGAAACTGTAGGAGAAAGAGTCGACACTCTACCTCATGCGCTCCGTTGGCAACCTCGTCCCTCTTCATGTCAGCCAGTCCCCTTGACAGGATCGACACTTAGTCTAAGCACGTATCAGAGCACATACACGTTCACGATTGCTGCCGCAAGGCCTATACGCGGGCTGCGTGCGAAATGCAGGAGCGGTGAGCAGAGACCAAGGAGGAAATGAACGTGCATATAAGGAAGCAGTGGAGGCAGGTGGGTAAGAGTGCGCATGAGCACCAGGCAAGGAAAGGAATGGGTACAATACCGAGAATCAACTTCGAAGGGTCGAACGATGGCGTAGGTGACCGGTGACCTGTTGTACCTGCTAGTATGCGAGCGCTCTTGGCGTGGTGCGCAAATCTTAATTGAACCGCAGTACCCGTCTTCAAATGGTGCCTCGGCCCGGAAACGCTACAGAGCCGGTACACGATGCACCAAGCTACGTCTGACTGCGACGCATCATATCGGCATCTCGTATCCCAATAGACTCGGGGACCCGGTGGGTTTGCGCTTTTCTATGTTCACAGCGGATATTAAATGGTAGAACGAACTATTTCATCTACAGGCGGCCTTGAATCATAAATGGATGTACGATTTGAAGCCAACTCTACCGAAATACCCGTGTCTACGATGTATACTCGACGTCGTTCTCTTCACGATCATCCTCGTGAAACGAGAGCTGGCCTCCCAAGGACCCAATGAAGCGGCTCGTGTTCCTTGACATCTGCTGTTGGAACGCAACTTCTCCGAGTGATACTGATCCGGAAGAGGAGTCCTCCAGCCTGCGCTGCGCCTTTTGCAAGTTGATGAGGAACCTCGACGTCAGGATGGAGGTCAGACTGGATACAGCATGTCAATGAGAGTTTGGAAGTAGGGTGCAACGTAGACATACGGTTCCTCAAGTAAAGCAATGACACTTGTTGGACCAGACGTATCACGCTCAGCGACCTGAGAATTGTCAGCAAAAAACCATCACACCAACGCATGACTCACCCCAATAAGAGTGAACGTCATTTGTAAGACGCTCAAGATCAGCAGTGTTCTGTTCCTTTCGTATGAGGACACTATCTGAAGAGCCGGGAATGGCTGCATCTACTTACACGAAGTAAATGGTCCCTGTGTGGATGTGAGGTAGCGCTTCAGTACAAATTCATCGGGCTTTGCTAACAAGATTAACTTCGCACCATCCAGGAGAATAATACTTGCGAAGGTTTCCCTTTCGCGTTCGCGCTCACGGAGGGATAGTCTGGCCGTTTCATATGTTCGATACCAAGTGACACATAGGACCACTAAATCGGATGCGATGAGACAAGATCGCGTCACGACCTCCACTGTCATCACCTATCTCAGAACGTGCGTTTGCCAAACAGAATCCGGTGATCCATGCACCTACATCTGCCATCTACTGCGTCAGAGAGCACGTCAGAAAGCCGTGCGAGAACTTGCTTACTTCAAGTTCGTGCTCGCCGATATCGGAGTACTGAATGTGATACCCAGGACGGGATCGCTCACAATTGACAGCCCGTGAAGGTTGGCCTTTGAGGGGAGATTTGATGCTACCCAAGCATGCAAAATTCGGTGTACGCACCCACATATTTATGACGATGGGCACCGACGCAAGCGCAAAAACACTTGCTGATACGAGCCATCGATACGAATCTGGGGACAGAGCATACGATCTGAGCGCTGAGAATGCTGTATGGCGAAGTCGATTTTCAGAGCCGAGAACTCCGGAAATAGCATAGGGAAGTCTCATACCAGCCCATGGGAGATATTGTAAAGCTCCCAACACGCTAGCAGCAACATATCCCGAGAATGCACTGTGTATGCGTCAGAAGACGTTTTCAGAGAAGTATGAAGATCACTCAGTACCTCTGCTATAGTATCAGACATTGATCCATGCACGCAGAACGTAGGATGACATACCTCCACAGACGAAGGAATAGGGACCAGATTCATACTTTGCGCCGCGAGAGTGATGTATCGATTCAGGATAAACAAGACTGTTGCTCCCGACCGGTGGCCTCCTGTCCAAAAGAGGGTTACCTCGTTACCAAACGTGAGGGTATAATCGTAGGCCAATAGTGCTGCATGACATGACACCATCTGGCCGTGAGCACTGGCACGACACTCATTTTTTCATGAGGGACCAACCAGTGGAGGCAAATGTCCAGCAATTTGTGAAGCTAGATACGAGCGAATGGGTTAGACTCTCGGGTACAGGAGCATTAGCACTGAGCTGTACTCACAAGGTACTATATGCGACCTGGACCTCTGAGTTGTCCGCCATACTGAAGTTCTGAAGCGGTAGCTCTCCGGGCACGAAGGAGACGTATTGGTCTTGAACTAATGGTACTTTGCCATAGTGGTTTACCACCGTGAGACATATATATGACGAGCTATCTATATATCTGCTGAGTTATGCGTCAAGGACCTATTCCTAGACATATTCTGTGTGACGAACTATCAGCGATCTGTCAGGACGGTGAGATATCGGCACAGAATATTCACGCTGTCCTATGTTTGCTATCTCTATGCTCTTCTGTCCAATACGGCGGCCTCTGTATGAATTGGCGAAGGGATGAATATGTTTGCACATCCAGTCATTGTGATGACTAACATCTATGTGACATCAGCGAAGCATCCTCCGCATCTTAACAGCCTCTCAAGCTCTCGATTTCTCTCAAGAATAGCTTCCATTATCTCATACCGAAGACGGGGCCGGGAAAAGTACGCGTAAGTCATACACTGCCTTGGTCCCTACCCGGCCCCTAGCGACGGGCAGCAGATGGACTCAGAGGATCGCAGCCGAGCACGCACATCTCGTACTACCAGTAGGATTGCGGGACTTTTCTTGACCTATGGTGGACAGAGATCGTGTTGAGTAGTTCCCAATCAGCCGTAGCCATAGAGGACTACCAGTGACCGGTCACGGCAGGCGGTGAAGGACCTCGGTGTGGAGTACACCTGCGGCATATCAAAATGCATGTCTATCTCTAGGCCAACTGCTACTGGCTCGAGAACAGCCTCCACGAGCGCGCAGATGACCCTCCCCGCCGAGCCCGCTGCCAGATTGAGCTCGGCACACCTCGACAAGCTGTAGCTATCGGTTGAGAAAGAATGCGTTACGGGTATGTGCCTATGTGGATCGCTCATGCAGCTCTCGCTGAACAAGGAGCCCGGAAGGCTAGCTCGCAGCTAATCATCTCTGTGACATACAAGACGTCATCGACATTTCCAAGTAGTACAGCGACAGCGTCCCCCCAGCGTTCCGCGTTCTCTATGCCTATCCACATCTTCATCTCCACCGTAGTGTCCGTACGCCGTTGGTCACAAGTGCTAACGTCGTCTCCGCAGAATTCAGCCTCGACTTCCACATTGATGTATAGGTTCCCCGAGAATGTACTTACTCACCAGTCTCTGCGACATGCGACGCCGATCACGGCGATGTGCTCGTTAAGTGAGAATGTCGGCCTCGTACCTCAAGGCTCTTGCCATCGAGGTGCGTCTTCGCATCTTGTATTGCATCATACTTCAACACGTCTTCTACTTTCACGCTTGACCCAAGCCAGGGAAACGGACCGACTCTCTAGCCCCACTCATAGACCAGGCCAACGACTGCATCCTTGTCCCCCACGCGGCAACCTCAACCCATTCTTCAAACCCGCTTCTGAGCTTCCGAACATCCACACGGGGCCTGAACTGGAGCTGAGCAGGACGTGCAAGAGCGGGGAATGCACGATAGGGACATTGGGACGTGCGCGTGAGGAAACAGTAGCCTAGGAAGGAAGAGAGGTGATCCAGGAGAAGGCGAATAGGACGAGTGAGACGTCCAGCACCGGCTTTCACAGTCTCACAGGCAATGGTAGGAGGAGTGTTGAGGCTCGAAAATCGAAGTGATCGTGGGCGAGGATGCACATTTGCTGAGCTATGGGCCGTTGTTGTTGGAGATACTGATCGATTAATGTTGTACCTGAAGGAGGAGGGGGGCATCCGGACGTGCTGCTCCCGGAAGTGTCTTTGGCATGTTGTGGGTTACTCACCCTCGGTAGTATAGACCCCTTATCCCTCGGGCTGCGCGGCATGAGCCCACACTCCTGCGCCGATAGCTTGGACGGCAGCTCCGGTGAGCGCGGGTGCACCTGCGCCATACGGCGCAGTTTTTTGATAACTAGTGCTTTGAGCGAGTCATACAGGATGGATGAAGAATGAAGTCGGCATGAGGGTCGATGATAGATGGACGTTGCCCGTGGGCAACCCGACGCGTCGGCGGTCGTGGCGAGGATAGTGGCGACACGTGATACATTTCTCTGTGCGCTTCTGCTCAAAGCAGACGAGCAGCCATTCACGCACAGACAACTGCTTCTCTTCCTGCTGCTTCTTGGTTGACCCTTGGACACAATGGAGCCTCTCCAAGCGACTATCCCTGGCTCTTGCTTGGACGAGAAACTGCGATATACTGCTGCGAAAGACACCGGTTTTTCACAGCCCGTCTCAAGGAACCTGACAAGGGCAACTACGTCGTCTCCGACCTTGCTTGCCAGCTAGCACTTGCCGCGAACCAACCAGGTGTGAACGACATCATATGCATGCTACTGAAGAGCGGCTTTTCCCAGGCATGTACTCGCAAAGACCCTCATGCAGTCACTTGACCAAGGATCTCGATGGGCCAACTGGCAGCGGCCGTCCACTTCTGCGACGCACACTACGCCCCAACACATCGAGTCGCGCTCTCGCTGCGCGCCATGCCGCATTTCAAGCACTCTCCTGTTGACCTAACGTAACAGGTAGGCAATCTTGGTGAGTCCGCACTTCTGCGCCTTCTCCGCGCTTTGCGTCCCATCTTCCGTCTCATCTCCATGTTCAGGTGTGTGATGTTCGTGCCTCAGCGGTCCACGATGCTCATGCTACCTCTACAGATTGTGAGTTTGACGCTTATACCAAAGCTCGCGCCCTGTCGTACATCGAGAGCCCGCTCACACAGTAGTTTTCGCGGTACGTGTCGTTGGACTTGACTATATGCTCACCTGGGATCAGCCTCGCGAGCTTCAGAACCGTCGCCGTCGACTCAGGTACCCTTCCGTTCGTGCCGTCTCACTCTCACATCTCCCTGCTTACAAACGTCTTTCCGACTAGTACTGGCCTAGGTTTCCTGCCATGATGGGATAACTGAGTCCATGCTTTACCCTGCCTTCGTCATCGACAAAGCCAATGGCTGCGTCTACGTCCTATCCCTGATGCAAGTCCGGGTCGGTGCTTTCAAATACATACGCGCTCACGACGGCAACTGCGGGGCTGACCAGAGGCCTGCGCATGACCTTCCGGACGTGCGGGGGCAGTGGATCGGCGCCAGGGAGGGGTGGGCGCAGGGGAGAGCAAGTGATTCAGGCAGGAGGGTGGCTATACACGAGAAGTGCGTGAGGCAGAAGAGGATGGGTGGGATATGGGAACAGACCTTAAAGGACAACGATAGTGCGAGGCTCATTCGGCGTTGGTACACTCCAATACGTCAGCGCTATGTCCTGCATTAGTTCAAGGCAGTACGTGATTCAAACGACAGGAAACGTCTCCGGGGTGCGATGGAGGTGCTGAACTGGCACACGACAGACTGTCCATCTGGCTCTACGTGAACTAATTTCGAGCGTGCATCTGACTCTTACGCCACATATCGGCACTATATGCCCTCTCCAACGCAGGGAGAAGGGACTGAGATTGGCCACCCGTCCTCGCATCTTCGCAATCTGGCCGTGGGGGGTCTGCACACGCTTGAAGCTGTTTAAACTGTCCACGTTGCCACACTACTTGGGCCTGCCTTCTGCAGACTCCTGTTCCCGGAGACCGTCGAGGGAGTTTTGCTGAATTGGATTTTGCAGTGCTTCGCCACACATGCCTTCCACTGACCGTTGACAGCTTCGCGTTCACTATACCGGACAGGGCGTCGTGACCAGTGGCCTTGCCGTACTCGTGCTTGGGAGTTCTCAACTCGAGATACTCGGTGTCATCCTTCTGTGAGAAGCACCTGGATGGTTAGGATGTATGAGAGTGCGGATATTGGCCTGGAGGGTGAATCAGAACTCAAACCTCACCATCCCGTTGCGCTGGGTGACGGCTAGTCGAGAGGTCAGAGGCGATGCCTTGTCGCGAGGCTGCAGGGACAACTTTGATCCGCAGTGCGATGTGGATGGCTAGGACGAGAGCAATAGAGTGAGATGGACACCGAGCTGTTGGTGGGCAACGGACAATGCTACGACTTTGCGAGCTGGCGTTTATGGTAGTGATATTGACTCGTCGGACTAGAAGGCAGTTACACGAGACGGAGCAGAATCGTCCTGCTGTTCATCGCGCCTGACAGCCTAATGTACGTACAAAGCGAATATAGGGTACAAAGAGCATGCCCGTCTACTAGCAATCTGATCGTCCAAGAAAATCACCAAGAAGCCACACATGGATGCACCATTGGAGACAAGTCTGCCAAACGCCCGCGCCTACGACGTATCTTCGACCTCGTTCTCTTCACCGTCATCTTCGTGGAACGAAAGCTGGGCTCCCAAGGGCCCAATGAAGCGGTTCATGTTCCTTGATGTCTGCGGTTGGGATACAACTTCCCCGAGTGAGATTGACCTAGAAGAGCCCGCGAGCTTGCGCTGGGTCCTCTGCAGGTCGATAAGGAACCTCGATGTAAGGATGGCGGTCAAGCTAGACACAGCATCGCTGTTAGGATTTGGTCATAAACCACAGCCTAGACGCACGGTTCCGCCAGAAAAGCGATGACACTGATGATTCCAGCTTCATCGCTCACAGCGACCTGAGAGTTGTCAGCAAACTACCATCATACTGAATTGCGGCGCACCCCAGCCAAAGTAAACGCCATCTGGAGGACGCTCAGGATGAGCAGTGCCCTGTCATGTCATGATGAGATCGAGGGCTGACCTGGACACTAGTGCGTGTACTCACATGAAGTATATTGTCCCTATAACAAGAGAGCGCTTCAATGATACATGCGTAGGGCTCAAATGAAGGCTTGCACTACGCACCATCCAGGAGGAGAATGCCTGCAAAGGTTTGTTTGCTACGGCTATAGAGAGACAGCTTGACTGTCTCATATGTTCGGTACCAGGTAACACAGAGAACCAATAGATCGGAAGCAATCAAAGAAGATCGCGTCGCCACCTCCACTATCAAATTTCGCTTCAGAACGTGCCTCTGCTTATCATAATGCTGTGATGAACACAAGTACTACATCTTCCACCTGCAGCGTCAGACATCACATCAGAGAAATATCACTGTTAACTTACTTCAGGAGTGTGCTCGCCGATATTGGTTGAGTGGTTATGATGCCCAGTGTCGGATCGTTGACAAGTGACAGTTTGTACAGGTTTCCCTTAGGTGGAATTAATACTGCTCGGTTGTGGCAGACACAGGGTACGCACCCACATATTCACGACGATGGGAACCGAAGAGAGGGCAAAAATGATTGTTGAAACAGGCCATCGATAATGGTCGGGACACATAGCATATGACCTGAGCGCTGAAAATGCTGCATGACGAAAAGGCTGTCAGAGCTGCGAATTCGCGTGGAGCGCAGGGCATTCACGTACCAGCCCATGGGAAATATTGTAAGACCCTCAATACATTGTAAGCAACATATTGCGAAAATGCACTGTGCATGCGTCAGAACCGTCGCACAATTCAGAGCCTGTCGAGAATACTGTATACCTCTGAGACAGTGTCAAGCTTTGATCCACACATGCTAGAGGTAGAAAGACATACCTCCACAGATGAAGGGATTGGGACCGCATCCAACATTTGTGTCGCAAGAGTGATATATCGGTTGAGGAGAAACAGAATTGTTGCTCCGGAAAGGCGGCCTCCCATCCAGAAGAGTGTTACCTCACTGTTGAATGTGAGGATGTAGTCGTAAAACAATAGTGCTGCCAATGAGGACGCAATCCCTCCGTCAGTGCGTGCTCGGCGTTGATCGCTTGTATGAGGAACAAACCTGGGGTGGCGTATCCCCAGCAAGTTGCGAAGCTAGACGAAAGTGTAGTTGTTACATCGCGTGCAGGGGGTACAACACTTACAAGGCCTCGGACACGGCCTGTACCTCTGAGTTGTCTGCCATGCTGAGGGTTTATAGCGGTAGCAGTCCTGGTGCAGACGTGGTGTGAAAGCCTGGGAGAGAAGTTGGGCTGCTTCGCTGATACACGCAGCGACGCCTATTTATCCACATACCCAGTCACACCAAGACGCTCCTCGTCGTTATGTACCGATGAGATCCATCATTGGATGAAGTACCGGCGACCTCTCATGACGGTTAGGTACCAGCCAAGACGATGCACGCTGTCCTGCACTTGATATATCTGTCGTCCCATATACAGCAAAGGCAGCTGTTTGAGGGTGCGATCGAGTGACGGGATCCACGTATCCAGCAACTCGGGCGACTAGATCAATGGCGGCGTCGCCCTTAGTTCCGCAGTAATTGTAGCTTCCGAAACGTTGAATAGGGTATATTGCTAGAGCCCAAGCTACGAAATAGAGGCTCGAAGTGGTGTGAGATCGCCCGAGATCGCACTCCAATTCTTCTCGAGTGAGTGCGCAAGAGGTCTCTTGCACCCGCCGCACAGCCCGAATGTTGGTTTTCATTGGCTCGTACCTAGATCATTGCCATTCCAGGAAGGTGGCTAGCTCTCGGCATACCCCCCACCTTCGCTCGAGATGCAAGCGATTGTATCTCGAGCGACGTGAAAATAGCCTCAGCAATTTTGCCCTGGGCTCTCACAAATATACCCTCATCTCAGCTTCAGTACTATGATGTTCAAGACAATACCAAGATATAGCATACGTATGTCATACATTGTCTTAGCGGTGTACCGATGGGAGAGAATGGCCGCTAGGCGCTCAGCACGGAGTTTTCATAGTCACGTTAGTGAGCAGATGTGGGATAGACAACTGCCCTGCTGTGACTCGTAGCTTGATGAGCTTCAAGTTGGACAGATTGGAGTCATGTGGCTGCTTACCTCAATCTGTTGCGGACAAACACTACGTCGGATCTTGTTCAGCAGGCCGCATCTGCCAGAGCTGCTGCATCACAAGTCAGGATTTGGCCGGAGGCGTGCGGGTGGAGACCGCAGAGTTTCCAGACAGTATGGTCATGTCATAGCATATCTGCGCTCTCTGTTTGAGCGCAAACCTTACCGCCGCACTTGCACGAAGGCTGGGCTCGCAGGGATGGGACAATGTGGGCAGTCGCTCCGAAAGATAGCGAGGACGACTCGGCGCTGCTGAACCTAATTCGTCATATCTCACGTGGGCATGTGACATGTTGCGCGTCTGAGTGGCACTGCGTGTTCTTCCTTCCTCCTCGGCCGACCCGGGCTTGGGAACTGCGGCGAAGGGGGCATTACGTAATGATGAGTCTGGGCACGGCGGGATGCCGTCCCCCACGGGATACCTCGACACACCTTACTTAGGACTGTCAGGATGCTCACCGTATGTGCTCATTCCTATGCTCTCCGTACCCACCACGCTGCGCCCCAAGCTGTCCCCCTGCTACCACAACATGGCGCTTTTGGTGTGCCGTCTACTCCTTCCCTGTGCTCTGCGTATTACATGCCTGATAGTCTCTTCTCCTCTTCTCTACCCTGCACCAATGTATTGTCCTCGTTCCGTCGGCCACCGCTCACCCTAGTATTCCTACGGACTCCTTCCCTTCCGCCTTCTACACCGAGATTCATGCCCTGTCATACCTCAATAACCGAGCACGCTTATTGGGAAGCGATCCTCGTGGGCTTCAATCCCCTCAGCGGCGAGGTGCGTCCCCATCGTCTGTCCCCCCCTCTCACATACACCCCTTCATCTGCGTCTGACTGACTCCCGACCCAGGCTCTATGTCGAACACAGACCGAGCGTCCGCGCTGCACCTCTCGCGCGTTGTCTAGTATGCCCCCGCACTGCACCTCCGTTCCACCTTCTAGTCGACGCCTTCGTCAGGCCCCCGTCGGGGCGCCCAACTGCGCACACGCTCGTACGGACGGGTAGGAGCGATAAGCAGACACTAAGGAGGAACCAGATGCGTAGGACGGGAAGCAATAGAAGCTGGCGGGGAAGAGGGTGTATCGGCCTGCGGCAAGGAAAGGGATGGCTGCAATACCAGAAGGGACGTCGGGGTCGAACAATGTAGCGGTGAGTGATATGTCATAATTGCGGTATGTCGAACCTGTTAGCATAGTCAAAAATATTGAGTTGAACAGCAATACACATGTTTGCATGCTGGTCGGAGACGTTGCAGAACCGATGCCCAACGAGCCAAGCTGTATCTGACCGTGACGCATCATATCGGCATCTCATATCTCAATTGACTCAAGAATCGAGTAGCTTGTTTTGGTCGCTCGGCCTCCCATTCTCGCTACCTGATCATGGGGAAGTCTCCGTACGCTTTGCAACTACCGATGTCGCATACGCTCCCACCCTTCTTGACCGAGCTACCGTAGACTCCTGCTCCTGGAGACCGTCCGAGGAGTCGTTTCTCAAGAGGCGCCCTCATCTCGCAGGCATTGCTTCGCCATATAAGCCTGTCACCGACCGTCCTCGACCTCGTGCTCGCGACCCCGGACAGGGCGTTGTAGCCAGTTCATTTACCGTGTCGTGCTTGTGAGTTGACAAGTAGACATGCTATATCATCGTTCTGTCCTGAACGCTTCGACGGTCGGGAGAGGGTCACAGAATCTAGTTTGGTTGGTATATGATATCTGCACCCTCGTTGTCCCGTGGCACTAGGTGACAAGCAGTCGAGCCGTTAGCGTCAGACAGAAATGTCGTCATGGGCCTGGTGGCTGCAAGCTTCAGGTGTCAGGGACCACCTCGAAAAGCAGTATGTTTCAGATGGAAAGAAAGAGCGAGAGAGCGATGCAGACGGACGACCTGCTGGCTGTCGTCTCTGAGGTGTTGGACGGCTCCGTGACCGTTCAGGCCGTGAGGCCTGTTCGATGATTGTCTTGGCCCGGCGGGGGAGAAGATTGCTACATGACACTGAAAAGGACAATGTTGTTGTTTGTCATCCCTCGCCTATGTTGAAAGTGGATACTGGATCGTAGAACGAACACTGGGATCTACAGGTGGCCTGGATGCATGGATGAAGACAACTCTACCGAACTCGCGGTGTCTACAACTTATCTTCGCTCTCTTCACTGTCATCCTCGTAGAACGAGAGCTGGGCCTCCAAGGACCCAATAAAGCGGCTGGTGTTCCTTGACATCTGAGGTTGGAACGCAACTTCTCCGAGTGACACTGATTCGGAAGAGTCATCCAGCTTGCGCTCAGCCTTCTGCAAATTGATGAGGAACCTCGATGTGAGGATGGAGGTCAGTCTAGATTCAGCATGTCGGTGAGAATTTGGCAGTGGGGTGCAACGCAAACATACGGTTCCTCGAGCAAAGCGACGACACTTGTTACGAAGAATGGACGAGCGGCGACCTGGAACAGGTCAGCAAAAGACCATGATACGAAGGCGCAGCTCACCCCAGTCAGAGTGAATGACAGGTGGAGAATGTTCAAGATGAGCAATGTCCTGTAATTTCAAAATGAACAAACTGGATGGTGGAATGCTAGGCATGGCTGCATCTACTCACATGAAGTACACGGTCCCTGTGGTCATGTGAGGCAGTGCCTCAGTGCTGATTCATCCGGCTTGAACGGTGAGTTCGAGTACGTACCATCTAGAAGAATGATGCTTGCGAAGGTCTTCCTTCCGGGTCCGCCCTCACGGAGAGATAGCTTGGCGGTTGCATATGTGCGGTACCAGGTGACATACAGAACGACTAAATCAGATGCGATCAAAGAAGATCGCGTCACCACCTCCACTGTCGTGCTCAATTTCAGAATGTGCATTTGATAAACAGGGTCCTGTGAGCCGTGCACGTACGTCTGCCATCCGCGGCGTCAGAAAGCACATCACGGAGCCGTATGAGCAATTGCTTACTTCACGGTTGCGCTTGCCGATATCGGAGTACTGACGATGACACCTAGGACCGGGTCGCTGACAACTGACAGCTTGTGTAGGTTGCCCTATCCGGGGAGTTTATTGCTACCCAAGCGTGCAAAATCCGGTGTACGCACCCACATATTTGTGACGATGGGTACCGACGCAAGAGCAAAAACGCTTGCGGATACAAGCCACCGACACGGATATGGGGACAGCGCATATGATCTGAGCGCTGAGAATGCTGCATGACGAAGTTGCTGTTCAGAGTTGTCAACTCCAGACAGAGCATAGGGCAGTCCCGTACCAGCCCATGGGAGGTACTGCAAGGCGCCCAACACGCTCGCAGCAACAAAATCGGAAAATGCACTATGTATGCGTCAAAAAATATTATGGAAAAGTATGAAAATCACTCAGTACCTCTGCTACAGTGTCAAGCATTGATTTTCGAACGCAAACTGTATAATGACATACCTTTACAGACGAAGGAAGAGGGGCCAGATTTATACATTGCGCCGCGAGAGTGATATATCGGTTCAACACAAACAAGACTGCCGCCCCGGACATGTGGCCGCTCGTCCAGAAGAGTGCAACCTCGTTGCCGAACGTGAGCGTATAATCGTAAGCCAGCAGTGCTGCATAAGACGGCGCAATCGGCTCGTGAGCACGTGCACGGTCTCCAATTCATTCATGAGCGACGAACCAGAGGAGGCAAATGTCCAGCAATTCGCGAAGCTGAATATGAGCAAATGGGTTAGATCGAGTGTGGGGGTATTAGCACTAAGCTATACTCACAAGGTCCTATATGCGATCTGGACCTCTGAGTTGCCCGCCATACTGAAGTTCGGCAGCAGCAGCACTGCAGGCGCAGAGGAAGGGTAAAGGCCTTGAAGCAATGAATTATTGCCTGTGCATTTCGCCACCACGAGACCTATATGTATACATGCTCACTTACACATCAAGGGCCTGTTCGGAGTTGGCAGTCAGAGGCACATTCTATATGACGAAGTATCAGCGATCTGCCAGGGCGGTGGGATATCGACACGAGGGACTGGGTTTGGCCTATTTTCGCTATCTCTACGCTCAATCCGTCTATAGAGAAGTGGATGAAGATATCCGGGTGACGTTGGCGCTGCATTCCCAGCATCTTATCAGCCACTTAAGCTCTTGATTTCTCCAATCGTGATCTCGTATTGAAGAAGCATCCCAGGAAGGCTATTCGTACCTCGAACACTGCTTTGGTCCTGCCCTAGCAATGGACACCTGATCAATGGACCCAGAGGCTCGGTAGTAAACATGCACATCTCGTAATGAGGGAATCGCGGGATTTACCTCAGCCCGGTGGGCGGAGATCGTGTTGAATACTGTCTGAGTGTCCGGACCATAGCAGGGGAAATCTTGTGTACAGTCTGAGCACTGGTACATTCAGGGTAAAAGAATCCATGTATGCTCAGGCTGAGTATAGAAGGCGGCATATATGCGGTCTCATACCGCCGACTCGGATTGCGAGGTGTTACAAGTGAAACACAGAGTTCCCTAACCCTAAGTCTCGTTGAAGTCGTGGCAGATCAGCATGTCATACATTAGTCTGAAGCAGGTACTGCTTTACTCACCGAAGGCTAGGTAGGGCAATCAAGCAGTCACAAAGCTCGGTGCACCTCTGATTTACCGTCACGTGGCAGGCGACACGTCGGCGTCTGAGCGGCGACTCGGAATTGATGGAAACGGCTACACTTTCTATTTCTATCTCCTTGATTATGCTCGCGCATCCTCGCTCATACCCCTGAGCTGCATCTTGGTCTTGCTGCTTAGTCGACGCCGCAGTCAAGCCCTCCTTAGGCGCTCGAATACACTCACCCTCTTGATGTTTGTCGCAGGACCTATGCGAGGCTGCTCACTGATATGCAGGATACAGTGCGAATTGACACCATGGAAAAGAGATCATGCAGGAGTAGGAGACGAGGAAGAAGGAAATACATGGAATACGGTGGTAAGCTTCCAAGGGAACAGTGGTGGGGGCAGTCGATTATGGTGTTGTCGGTATGTTGACCCTATATGCTTAGTAGTTGACCAATGCATGCCGATCGTGGTTCGGACTACAGCAGGCGTTTGTGCACGGTGCATCGGCGATGCTGGACCTGGCATAGGACGGACTCGATCCGGAGAAGCTGCTAGTGAGATACGTCAGTATACTGCGGTCTGCCCTTGCATGTCAACACGAGCTATCTCTTGGGCTTCATCTGATACTTACGTGTCAGCTCGCCGTCTTACATTCATACTCGACTCAGGGGCAGAAGAGAGGCTTGGGATTGGTCCGCTTGTCCTCACGTCGTCGGATTTTGAACGCGGGGTAGTCTAGGTACGCCACGAGGCTGCCGATTCCGTCCACCCTCCCACCTTAGGCCGAGCTTCTCCCATTTACGAAGGCCGTCCGGGGATTGAGGCTCGAGACTTTCCTGTTGTCGGAGGGGTCACTCCACCGCGTCCCTCATCACGACCGTTCGTGGCCTTGCAATGACCATTCTGTACCGAACCGTTGTCACCAATCGTCGTGACTCTGCCATAATTGTGCTCGACATCTCTAGGCTGGCTGTGTTAGCGTTCTGGGTGCGAGACTTGCAGTCTTAATAAGGCAGTGAGATATCCTAGCTTGGTCTCTATGCTAGTGCCGTATCGTGTTAGCTAGTCGAGCCCTCGCCGTCATAAGAGCGAAGCCTTGATGGGGAACTCCAATGCAATTATGAATACGGTACATGCGGATTGCCGAAAGACCGCGGGGCAGTCAGGATGGACGAGCTGTTGACTCTCATCCCCAGTATCCCGCGAGTACGTCGGCTGGTTGACCTACATGTCGATTTCCTTGCATAGCGAAATTGGATTCTGTGGAATGACATGTTACAGTCCTGTTCGCTACCCATAATCTATGTACAAAGCATATAGGCATATGGTAGAAAGGGCGCGGGAGATCGGGCGGTTCAAGACAACACATCTACACGCGGATGCACCACTGAAGACAGGTCTATCGAAAGCGCTTGCCTACATTGCATCTTCGACCTCGTCCTCTCCGTCTTGGAAACCGTCACGAAACGACAGCTGGACTCCCAAAGACCCAATGATGCGGCTGGTATTCCTCGACGTCTGCGGTTCGAAAGCAAGTTCCCCGAACGAGACCGACCTGGACGAGCCCGCGAGCTTGCACTGGGCATTTTGCAAATCAATGAGGAATCTCGATGTCAGGATAGCGGTCAAGCTAGACACGGTGTCTTGTTGAGAATCTGGCAGTGGGATGCGATGTGTACTTACGGTTCCTCGATAAAACTGATAACGCTTGTGAACAAAGTCGTTCCGCCCTCAGCGACCTGGGAATTGTCAGCAAGATACCGTCATGCTAAAGTGTAGCTCACCCCGGTCAGCGTAAACGTCATTTGCAGGACGCTCAAGACCAGCAGCACCCTGTGGATTCCAGAAAGTGAGAACGTCGGTTGATCTAGGCATGGTTTCATGCACTCACATGAAGTAAATCGTCCCTGTGAAAAGTGAGCGCGTAAGATCATACTCATCAGGCTCAGGTAATAACCTGTAAGACACACCATCTAGGAGAAGGATCCCTGCGAAAGATTCCTTGCGAAGGCTACGGAGAGATAGCTTGGCAGTCTGATATGTTCGGTACCAGGTAACAAAGAGGACGACCAAATCAGAGGCGATCAAAGAGGATCGCGTTGCCACCTCCACTGTGATGTCTCGCCTCAGTATGCGTCTCTGCTAATCATAATCCTGTGAAACGTTCGCCTACATCTTTCATCTGCAACGTTAGACATCGTACTAGAGCATTGGCACCGCAAACTTACTTAAGGACTGTGCTCTCCGCTATTGGATTAGTGGGTAGGATTCCCAGTTCCGGATCATTGACAAATGACAATCTGTACAGGTTGCCCTTTTAATGGAATGGAAATCTCAGCTTTGCGAAGACATATATAATCCAGAATACGCACCCACATATCCGTGACAATGGGCACCGCAGAGAGTGCGAAAACAGTCGCTGAAACAGGCCATCGATAGGGGCATGGACATAAGGCATACGACCTGAGCGCTGAGAACGCTGTGCAACAAATCGGCTGTCAGAGACCCTGTCGACTCTATCCAGAGCGCGGAGCAGTCACGTACCAGCCCATGGGAAATACTGAAAGGCCCTGAACACATTCAGAGCAACAAACATAGAAAAAGCACTGTGTATGCGTCAGAATGCGTAGTCCGGAGTCTATGGATATCGCTGTATACCTCTGCAACAATGTCAAGCATTGATCCGCCCACGCTACACGTAGAAAGACATACCTCCACAGATGAAGGGAACGGGAACAAACCAATAATTTGTGCTGTGAGAGTGATGTATCGGGTTAGGAGAAACAGGATTATCGGTCCGGACAGGCGGCCTCCCATCCAGAAAAGTGTGACCTCGCTGCTAAACGTGAGGACGTAGTCGTAGGACAATAGTGCTGCGGATGAGGACGCATTCCGCTCATGAGTACGAGGGCGGCGGTCATTGCCTTCATGAGGAACAAACCAATGCAGGCGTATGCCCAACAATCACCGAAGCTGGACGAAATTATAGTGGGTACATGACGTGCAGGGGCTACGGCACTTACAATACATCGTACAAGGCCTGAACCTCTGAATTGTCTGCCATGCTGAAGTGTTGCAGTGGTAGTACTCCAGGCCCGGAGCAGAGGTATCGTGTGATGCTGGTAGAGAAAGTGTGTCGCTTGGGTGAAACATGCCATGATGAATCTTTATGTACACGCCCTGAGACGCCGTTCGTACCTAGGGCCAGAGACCTGCCCACGAAGTGCTTCTTCGAACGATGTATCAGCGACCTCTGGTGGCGGCCAAATGCTAGTTCAAAAATGGACGCTGTTCCACATTAGTATGTCTGTCGTTCCATCTGCAAAGGCAACTGTATGAAGGTACGAACAAGTGGCAGGATCCGCAGATCAGGCCCCTGAGTCGACCGAATCCATTGCAGCGTCGCCAATTCTTCTCTACAGCGACCTGAGCTTGCGATGCCTGAGTTGATCAGCTTCCGTGGTGTCATGTCGAGTATGATTGAGACAGATAGATGCGTACCTCGTTGATTGCCATGACATTGCGCCGAAAGAAGAGTATGGAGGCTGTGTGCGAGCAACTTACTTATCTTTGTTCTACATATTGAGTTGAGCAGGACGGGAAACTGCCCTGACGGGAATGTTTCATCAGCTTTTGAAAGATTTCAGATCCCGTGGCTGGTCACGTCAGCCCGTGGCGGGAAAGCATCACGTCGGATTATGTCCGGGAGCTGTGACTGCTGCTGTATCGCGGCCGCGGTTCACTGGGAGCGAAATCTATATGCGTTCACGTTGGGTACAAGATTAGGATATACGCGTGACCTTACTGCGGTGATGTAGAGCAGGCGGAGTCGTTAGAATCATGGCATAGCAGCGGTTCGATTCTCCGCGCAAGGCAGTAGACTACTCATAGTATACAGTATATGTAAGCCTTGTAGGCCTGGACTCGGTGCAATGGGGCTCCAGACGCGTGAGAACGCCTGCCGTCCACCCGATTCGTCACATGTCACACTTCCCGTGCCAGTGCGCCGTGACAAATTGCACGCGGCGGGCGTTCAAACGTCCGCCCGACTGTTCAAACGCAGGAGATTTGTGCACTTGAGACAGCGCCCTCCAGACCTACCTGATGACGCCTTTGGTGGAGATTGGCAGCGCCCGCTAGCCGATGTTCAGGACATGTGATAGAGACGCTCGCCGCTATATCGAGATTTGTCCGATTCCGATTATCTTGGCTGCATTATCATCTAAGCGACACGATTGCGATTGAATTTATGAGCCCGACATGGTCCTTCAGTGGTACAACGTCAAATCGTCCTTTCTGAGGTGCTTTCAGGCTGTAAGTTGGGGCAGGATAGATGGCAGGCCTATTAGGGTTACTGACATTCCGTTACGTTACTAAGTATAGCCGCATGCTGCGGGTGGGAACGTCAAACTTTATCGCCGCTTTGTGCTGCTTGTCTTGAGCTGCTGGGCGTTAGGATGGGTGTCAGATGTAGAGCTATGAGGCAGCCCAGAATATGTCCGGATGGGAGGAGGAATGTGGTAAGGCTGATATTTCTCCTTTGCTAGTCGCCTGTCACTAATTCTTCACATCTGACTTGCAGAGTGAGCTTT